TAAGATCCACCTGTACGTGGATTTTGGGACTCAGATGCTGAATAAAAAGCAATCAAAGGTGGGAGAGAGATAAAAACGAGTTAAGGTGCGACAATAAAGCAGAATGGATAGTAACGGGTGTGAACTCGTGAAAACGTTTGTTCTAGAATATCTTTAAAAAAATTTGTTATAACGAGTGCGAAGGCGTTTGATATGTTAACGCGTTTAGAAAACTGTATGGTTCGGAATCTTGTCAGTGGATACTACTAGCCTTACTCTATCAGAATTTATTTCGGACGTTCGGCTTTTCACTTCAGGGCCTGTGCGGCTCCTGCTGAAGTAAACCATGTTTTCATAGTATGCTCAAAATTTTCTGATCGTCTTTCAACGATGTGCGTGATTCGAGATTTAGCTGGGTAAACCGCCCTCTAGCAATAGTGCGTTTTTGGAAAATTGACTTCTCTATATACTAATATTGTAAAATTTTGAGTGATATACCATTTTACTCAGAATATTTTACTCCATCAAAATAGAAAAGAAAATTTGAAAGGCTTTACAAAAAACCTGACGGTCAGAAACTGGCTTTTTGAAGGAAGCATAATTTTATTCTGGCTTAAATTAGTATCATTCGATAGAGAATCTGAACCTATATATTCCATATTATTTTCACATTGGCAATTTTTTTCCATTTAGCCATGTTAAAATATTTACGGAATGTAGTGCGTGGTTTTCCTAGGTTTGCGTCATTATAAACCGCCATGTCGTTTATGATGTGTGTTCAGAAAAAAATGAAGATAGTTATTTTGTAGCCCGAAATGAGTTCTACAAAACTACACCTTTCTTAGTCTCATCTGTTCTATCCTCACCACAAAGAATCACGACTAGACCTGTGCGCCGCCGCCGAAGGTGTCAAAATTTTTTGGACCACTTCGCCGCCGCTGCCGATGGATATGTTAGATGTTTGCCCCGCCGCCGAAGGAGTCCAAGTTTTATGGAGGTTCTCGCCATAAAAGCTTGCTTTAGCCTTCGCCGATAGAAAAAGTTTTGCGTGAAAAAATCATGAGAAACAGGCGGAATCACTGGCTCAGTATGTCTTTGTCATCTATATCTGCATAGGCATTACCGATATAAGATAAGAATATTTATTAGCCATAATTTCAATGGTCTCATACACAACAACGCTTTATATAGATTTTAACTACCAAGAGATATTCATTATTGATCAGTAATTCTTCTAAATTATAGAATAGAAGTTTGATGAGATTGACAATGGATCTTCGTTTAAACTAAAGCTTTTTGTACTCAAATTTGGTTGTGGTTGACCCCTCCGCTGGCGATGAAAATCTTTAAATAATCTTTCAGCCGCCGCCGCCGACTGAACGTTTTCTTTTAGCCGCCGCCACCGCCGACGGCGGAAAAGCTTTGAATGAGGTTCCGCCGGCGCCGCTGGTCGAAAAACTTCTGTTACACACCGCCGCCGATTTTCTGACCGGCGCACAGGTCTAATCACGACCAGGACCAAAACGGATGATGTTGGGTGATCAACGTCGCCTAGAGTCTTGAGTATACAATCTGTAGTAGTAAAAATTATACCAATCGATGCAGAATTTCATGGAGAACACAAATATGTTATTCTTTTAAAAAAGAATATGTCAAGGGCAAAGTTTTACCCGATAGGTGAGCATACTATGAAAACATGGTTCACTTGATCACCACGCGAGTTGTTAATCATTCTCAATGTATATAGGTAAGAAGTGTGAAGAAAATTTGAAAAATACTTCTTCTCTGAAAATTTCTGGCGCAGCTCAATTTCAATAAATTCCTACATGAGTTTTGAGAAAGTTTTGAAAAATCACTACTTTTTCCGAAAAGAGGACACAACTTTGTAGAATGCCGCATGCTAGGAGTTATCATCTCTGATACGGACTACGGTTCTGTAAATCTGTTTCGCAGCCATGTACATGCTGCAGCTTCATCAGCATCACCCAATGGTACGCGTCGCAATCGTCGGATACACCTAGTGGCTTTGCTCAATACCCTCGTTTTGTATCTTCGTGCCTTGTATGTTGTCTGTTAACGGCGGTCCTTCATTTCGAAAATAAAACCAGAAAGTTCCTAGATTATATGCCCAGTCCAGTTCAACGTGTATGCCGTACTGTCTATACACGTGATTGGGAGTGTGACGCTTTTTGTTTTCTGTCACGGTCGTTTGTTTATGATTCAATAAAAATGCGTATCTGATATAACTGGAGTACGCCAGCTCAGAAAACAAGAAGAAAAAACACGTTTTCTTCACACGCTTGAGTGGCAATGTCACAGAAAAGAAAAAACGTGCATAAAAGTTGTTCTCTGAGCACGTACGTGACATACGCTGGTTTTTGTATTGTGCACCGTCATTATTACCATGCGTTCGTGTATAAAGTAGTCCAGAAGCTTCAACATTGTCATTTATTATTTTTATATTATATCTATACGGGTGAAGGTCGACTTGGCTGTGCACGTTTTTCTCCTACACTGTAAAAGATAGTCGCAGATTAATAAATTACCAAAAAGGATTTATTGAGACCAATAAACCTTTTAAAAAACGCTTTCCGTTTTTTATATCCAAAAAACTAAAACGCGTTCGTGACAGGTTCAAAATGAAAAACGGGCGATTGTTTATCAAAAATAAAAAACCCTTTTCAGTTTTTTGTCGAGTCTAAAAACTAGCTAAAAAACTATTTTTTTAACCATTAAAACTAGTATAATGTGTTAGCGAAAAGAAGAAGAGAAAAAAACACACATATAAGAGTTTTTTAGCTAGTTTTTTAGACTCGACAAAAAACTGAAAAGGGTTTTTTATTTTTGATAAAAAACCGCCCATTTTTCATTTTGCATCTATCACGAACGCGTTTTAGTTTTTGGATATAAAAAACGGAAAAGCGTTTTTTAAAAGGTTTATTGGTCTCAATAAACCCTTTTTGATAGTCTACAACTATTTTTTACAGTGTATCTGTCTCTTAAAACACATAGGTTAATTTCTGTAGAAAACAGTTAACACATCAGATCGAGCCGAGCCTACATATAGAGCGCAAAAGAAATTACATATACACAGCCGGAGAGAGTGTATGAAATATGAGGAGGACAAAAAAATTTAAAGTGCAGAGTTGGAAACGAGCGAGCGCACTAGAAAGCTTTATGAGATACTCCTGTTTTGCTTGGAATATGTCAAACGAAAAGAGAAAGAGGCAAAACACACACTTACAGCGAATTGTTGGGAGAGAATGGTTAGGTGCCTTCCGTTACGACAACGTCAATTAGAATTCCGAGGTAAGTGGTACTTGAGTAACAGTTGTTGTGCTTTTTTTTTCTTTCGACATGGAGATCCAATCTACGGCATATCAACCACAATACTCTGTGTTTGTATGTTTATTGCGATCTAAGTAGACGACCGAACGAGAGTATTTATCACAAAAAATAGGAGGCGTGTGATTGAGATCAAATTAAAAAAAGAAATGGGAACTTGGATTGGCCATATTGCACCAGGTACGAGTAAAAGCTTTTCATTATCCTTATTGTGTAATCTTTCTTTGCTCAGGTGCATTTTTCATTGCATTTGCTCTTTGGTGGCATATAAACAACTGCATTCGCTACCTGAAATCACGTGACGGCGCCAACGACGATAGAACGAATCGGTCACATACAAAATTTCGCGGATCGGTGACCTACTCATGCTTCTATTTACCATGTAAAAGTCTTCGTTGTTTACCAATCGAGAGTATTCTCAAAATACTTATCACGTCGATTCATTTTACCATCGAACTGATTACCGGTTATTCGCCAGAACCGAGATCTCATATTCGCGATGAAAACTCTCATCATACAGCAATGCTCTTTGGTTTTTTTCTCGGTGCTTGGATTGAAATACTTGTTCATTACAAAGTACCATTACCGCCACGCATCCCTCAGACCATGGGTTTTCTGGCTTTTGCCATTGAAGCTCTCATGATGGTGTTCCATTTACATGCACGAAACATGGTTGATGCTCACATTCATCAATTACTCGGTTTGACAGCGGCCTGTTCAATGGTTGGTGCACTGGCCGAATGTTTCAGTCCGAATAGTTTCTGGTTGATTGTAGCACGAAGCCTCTTTGCTATGACTCAAGGAACATGGTTTCTACAAGCGGCATTCGTTCTTTGGCCTCGAACAACCAATCCGTTGTTCATCTGGGATCTGAACTCGCATCGGTCGATTTCATTGTTGACCATGTCCTATGCTTATCATCTGGCCGGCAATGCATTTCTGCTCATTATGGTCTATCTGCTCATCTACAAGTTCTCGTCGACCGCAGTTCGACTTGAGGAGGAGGGGGAAGAAGAGTCGGCATCGGAGTATAAGTTGATTATGAGCATGAACAATGCGGACAATGACGTTGAATCTGTCTAGTATAGTCAATCCCGTGTGTAAATATATATATACCCGTGTAGTCTTTTCTCTCACCACGATAATATTTTCTGCAGATATTTTTATTATTTTTTTCTTCATGGAATCTTCCGGCTCGTTAGAGTACCCATGAACTCTAACTGGATCGATGTTCTTTTTATGTCTGTGTGACTTTTCACATTTTTCTGCCTGTCATGATCTTTACTTCCGCAATAAAAATTAGTGTGCCAAACTATATCAGCAATGCGTCGACAATTCGAAATACGTAGGATCAAACTACAGAGCTCTATGATTAATGTCACAGCCGAGAAGCCATTACATGACTCGGGCGATACTAGCTTTTTTTTATGCTTCGGCTGTTCCGTTGATATCTGTCACAGTTGAACGATCATTCTTAACAGAACTAAAAATTATTCTCGAAAATTTGGGGGGGGTTTCGCATCAGATCTGATAGTCTTCCATACGGGATTCTATAGCTATTACCCTTGATACAAAAATAATTTCTAATCGACAAAGTCGTTCAACATTCTAGCTTCGGCAAACTTTTGCATTGACATAAACGCTCCAAAATTTTTACACATTTCACCCCTCCGCCAAAACTTATCCAACCCGTGAGTTGTTACACAGGTATACCCTTGAAGGTGTCCTCTACAAACTGGCAAAGTTTGAGTGTATGCTAGGTGCGGGCACCCCATCAAAAACTGGAAAAATCAAATTTTAGGGGGTTTATAGTTACATGGCATTGAGTTGGGGCAAATCATATCTTGTGTGACCTGAAGGCCCATGTCCAATAGGTACCAAAAAATGTATGAAAGCGACCTCGGGAATTCAAGATTATAAAAAAAAGTAGCGTAAAGTAGGCAAAAACTCAAAAATTTCCACCGTTATCTCGAATTCATGCCATCCCCCCTAACTGAGGCTTCTGTATAGAACTTAATCCTTGTAATATTTATTTTGCCTTTGAGGGCACTAGGTGCCAATACGGTACAAAAACTGTACATCATGTTGAAAAACGTGCTGAAAGGGGTGCAGAAAAAGCCCCTTGCTATAGGTGCTGTCGCGATGCGCTAGCTTGGCTGTCACGGGCAATCGCTGAGTGACCGGTGTTGCATGAAATTGTGTTTTTTTTTTTTTTTGTTTTTGACGGAGCCATGGCTGTGCCGATGTGGGTCTCCGTAGAAGTAGGAGTAGTTTGGATGAGATTAAAAGGTGTGCGTATTGTCTATGTATGGTAGAAAGAAGTACAGGCTGTTGGTGA